ATTATTCCAATTAGTCCACAGCCTACTACTTGTTGCGGGTCTCTGCTTTCTCTCATGTCTATTGCTTTCAATTTATAGGTAGGTCGCGGGGCACGTCTGTCTCCCGCGCAGTCTCGCCCCGCCCGCCTGCATCCCCCGACCTATCCATCAATGCCACGCCCCACCACGCCCCACCACGCCGCGCCTCGCCGCGCCTTGCCCCAGGGGCCTCCGCCGCAGTGGCCGAGGGTTCAACTCCCCGCCACCGCTCACCGCACTCCATTGGAGAGGGGGGGGGGGAGGGTTAGATGAGGAGGTTAGAGTGACGGACACGCGACATGAACGAATGTGGAGCTCCTGTTACAGTAGGCAATCCCGATCCCTTATTGGCGGACAGCGACCTTTACGTCCATACTATTGGCTGTGAAGCTCCAGCGTCGAAATTACCTCCGAAATTGCTTATTCTGGCATTTTTGCGGGACTTCGTGTGACGCGTGAGGAATTGAGGAACTGAAAGCAGTTGATATATAATTTTTGAAAGAAAAATTTGCGGTCTGGTCCGAGGCTACTCACGGCTGCGCGGCCGGCGTCCATGACGAGCACCCGGTCTGAGTCCATGATCGTGTTGAGGCGGTGGGCCACGGTGAGCACGGTGCAGCGAGCGAACTTGGTGCGAATCGTACTCTGTATCAGCGCGTCAGTCCTGCCAAAAACAATTCAGTGTTACCTTTTCTTGAATTGTTACTTCTCGTATAACAATATTTAAAGGACTTTGGTTACAGCTGAAGAGAAGAAGACCGTGGGGAAGAACAAAACGAAAATCCCTATGCTTGAACCGGCTTGTATGGTGGACGTTTTCTTTTTCGCCGCATTCTTCTTCCTCTCAGCTTTACCGGAATGCTCTTAGTTTTTACCACCCTCGCGGATTAGATGGTTTGGACTTACTGCGGGTCGACGTTGGCCGTTGCCTCGTCCAGCATGAGGAGCTTGTTCCCGCGCAGGATGGCGCGCGCCAGGCAGATGAGCTGCCGCTGCCCGACCGAGAAGTTGGCGCCCGCGTCCGCCACGCGCATCTCGAGGCCGCCCGAGTCTGAGGCCGTGTCCCTGAGCTCGACCTGGATGGAGACGAGAGCGTCAGCATAAGCGTCCCCCAACCAGTCCAAGTTGGTTACCTCACCCCAAATTGAAAGACTCGCAGTGAATTTCGTCGTAAGCTACAGTAAGCCCCGCGCAATATGTTGAACATTTTCACCGTAAATAAGCTATGAATATGACCGTGCGCTATAGTGAATCCGGGTGCAGCACCGTAACTTACAGTGATATTTACTTTTGCTTACGATGAAAATGCACTGACAGTGCTGCAGGGTTCGCTGTAGCTTACAGTGAAATTCGCCGTAAGATTTTCATTAGTGCTGCTGTGCAAAGATACTCACGTCCCCGAGGGCGGCCCACAGCTGGTGGTCCTTGTACTCGCCGAAGGGGTCGAGGTTGCGGCGCAGGTCGCCGGAGAAGAGCACGGGGTCCTGCGGGATGATGGAGATGCGCGAGCGCAGCTGCTGCAGCGGCAGGCTGCCCGTGTCCACGTCGTCCAGCACGACGCGGCCCTCGAGGTAGGCGAGCCGGAACAGGGCGGCGATGAGCGACGACTTGCCCGCGCCCGTGCGGCCCACGATGCCGACCTGCCGGCCGGGAGAGACGCGGGTGTCAAATGGGTGGCCTACCTCCACGGCGCCGTGCAGCGCGACCACAAGGAACGGAAATCACGAGTCCGTCAGTCGAGTGTGCATCATATGTTATTGTCTCGGTTCGATTCCTGAATGTTGCTGCAGTTTTGAGACGGATTTCCTGCAGCCCCCGCGGGCCAATTGCGCTGCCTCCCACACCCGTCAGTACATCCGCTGAGCATCACTGCCCAGCCCATTGTGACACTTCCCACTTACTACCTCCACCAGACCTCACTGCGCAGTGCCACCACAAGCTCACTACCTCCACTGGGCTAGGCATCACTGCCCAGTGCCTCCTATTCAGCACCTCTACTGGGGGTATCATTTGCCTCCTAGCCCAACGCCAGCGCTGCCTCCCGCTTGCACTTGCTATACCTTCACCTACATTACATTGGGCCCTTCCCGCTCACTACATCCACCACTGGGCACCACTGGCCAGCGCCTCCGAACCCACTACGTCCACCGGGCATCACTGGCCAGCGCCGCCTCCCACTCGCTACCTCCTCCGCCTAGATTGCGCCGATCCCCCGAGCCTGGTGCCGTGAGTTCGTCTGTCGCGTGTCCGGGCGCCATATCTGCCGCCTCGGGGGCCCTGGTGGCCAAACCCCCCGCCGGCAGAGAGGGCCCGCCCCGCCCCGCCCCACCAGCCCGGGCGTGGGATACATATTGGTGGGCATTAGACGGGCCCCGATGCTGATGAAGACCTCACTCAGCCCGGGCCGTGGCCGGCGCGCTGTGCACCCATTACAAAGCGCTCAGCGCGCATGCAAGCCCATGCACAGGCGCTTTTTATTTTAGTTTCTTTCCTCTCTGCCGCCGTGACGAGACCCGGTCGCGTGCCGGCGTATGATTCTCTCACGGCCGGGGCGGGGCCGGGTTTGTCTCGCGGTGAATAATGGGAATAATTGGGCGGTGCAGCGGCGCTACACCTTAAACGCCGTGCCCGCTTTGCGCGCCAACATTTTGGCATTGTTGTTCTTCGAATGCTAAACTCTGGCGTGCATTTTTTTTTCTCTCAAAACTAACATTACGAATGCCAAATTTTGTCCTGTAAAAGCCAGACAGTTTTTTATAGCATGCTATAATTTTTGCATTCCCAACGGCCAAAACAGTGGCACACTTAATGTACCAAAATGGCAAGCAACGCAACCATGGCGATTTAAGTGCATTTCACATCCACTCGGGCGTGAGGAAAAATGCTGCGAAAGCTAACGTACAACTACCACTAGAGTAAAAAAGCAAGAATTTCTGTGACTTCCAAAATGTATTCCCTAAAATGTTACGTAGCTGGCCTTTCAAAGCTATCTCGCGCGTATTTCTACATTATATATTTCTACAGTCTAACTCTTTTACAAAAATGTTTTAGTGTAATGCAAAGAATTCTTAGCAACCGTAATATACATGTATTACACAAAAGTTTTCTTTGTATTATTACGGAGGAAATTTTGTTTTGTAGAACGGTTGCACAGAATTCCGCCGAATTATTTTTTTGTAGTACAGAATTACCTTTCTAAGGATTTGAAAGTGAAATTGCTGACTTTCTTTGTTGTGTTCAAGTGTTTGCGCTCCATGCCCGCCCTTTCTTTTCCTGCTCTTTAGAACACATTGTTATTCCAAACGTTGTGTCGAGGTTCACCTTTTCCGTGGGGTTGATGGTCAGGGTGAGTCCCTTGAGCACGGGCGGGTCCTCGGGAGCGTATCTCATCCAGACATTCTTGAGCTCCACGCGTCCCTCGGCGGGCCAGTCTGGCTTTGGAGCGGGTCCTGCGGAGGGAGGAAAGAGAGGACAGATCTTGGATTTATAATTTTTGCGGAGGTATATTTAAAGTAACTGTGCGACGACGGGGTGCAGACAAGAGTTTACTGCGGGCGCAAAGAGCGAGAGAAAAAGTGAGGGAGATGGAAAAGTCGCAGTTATTCCTCTCTGTTGCACCCGCGGCAAATCCACGCGCTCCATCACTGTCGCGCGACTTGTCCTTATAGTTTCTCTCCCCTCACCGCTGGCGGCGTCCTTGTCCTCGGTCGGGAGGTCGGCGTACTCCAATACGCGCTCGACGCTCAGCAGCTGGGAAGCGACCTCAGCGGACTGACGCATGCCGAACTGGACCATGCCCGTCATCGCCATACTCTGCGTGATCGCGAGACCCACGTCACCGCCGAGAAAATCATCCGCTGGATTTAAGAATAAATATTGTAAGGTCGATCCGTCTCTAACTATCCGATGTCACATACGTCAATTCTTTTGATGTTAACTTACACTGCTGCAGCAAGAGAAAGCTGAAGATGACGACAATAGAGAAGCTCAAACTGAGCAGATCAAGGGCTGTGCCGAAGGACATGCTCGTCATGACCCCCATGTACCAGGCTGCCGAATGCAGGTTCTAGGGAAGGCAGTCACATAGAGAATAAAAATGATCAGAAACGTTTGTTTGGTACTATTCATGCTCTGTCTCAATATCAACCTATTTTTTTTTTCCTATAAAATACCTGATGATTGTCGAACTCCACTTTGACCAGATCCTCAGCGTTGAACGCTCGGATCGTGGACAGACCCTGGATCGTGGCATTCAGGTGTGTGAAGACTGGACTACGAGCTGAAACCCGGGTGTCGATGCATCAGCGTTTAAAAGTGAAGCGAGTCAGTATTGTTAAGTGTAATTTCCGCCATTTCCTCGAACGCACTCATTCCCTCCAAACGCTTGATGTTCTTGGCCGACATGAGGTAGACTACTCGCGCCATCCAGAAAATGACCAGCAGCACGATGACAGGGATGATGAAGATCCAGTCGACGGAGACCGAGACGACGATGTAGCCGAAGAAAGCCAAGATGAACTGGTGGTTCAATAAGCAAGTTCGACCTTCAGTCCAGGCAAGATGTCTCTTTTGTAATTGCTACTTTCGACCGTCGAATACGGTGACGTACTTGTGTCGCGTCCAGTAAGGCCTTCGGCAGGAGCTCGTCGATGCTCCCGAGGTCCTTGGAGAATCGGTTGAGAATCCTGCCTGCAGGAAAGGAAATAAGAAAGTTGTAGACATGCAACACTCTGATAAAAAAGCAACAAATGATCCAAGCTCGGCAAAGCGAGGCCTTGAGGGGAAAACTTATTGCTCTGCCCTCTCTAACGGAGCCCTTGGCAGCGAGGAAGCAGAAGGAAGAGGAGGACCCTGACGCAAAGTTGGCAAATATTTTGGTTACGTGATAGTCTGTTGGCATGTTGTGAAGGCCTCCTCTTTATCGCACGTCACAACTCCCTGGCGCGCTCATTAAACAGCTGCATTTTGTGATCTGCCCCGCGAGATACCGTGAAGCCCGCCAGTTAATGCCCGCCAGCAACGCACCGAGACATGCAACAACTCCTTGTCTTGTGGATAATCGAAGGCCCCCCTCCTCCTCGCCTCTTTTACCATCCTCATCACCAGCTTTCTGCTGTCTACCCTTTTAGTGTGAAAGGCGAACGAGTCACTTTGTACGCGAGTACGACACTGAGCGCGGAATCAGTCAACAACTTTTTAAAAAATTTTGAATGCCAGCTGTTCATCGTTTTATTCTAGTGACAGTACGATACAGTACAGTGCAGAACGGTTAGGTTTTGCTGTACTGTACGCGAATAAACCCGCTCAGTTATAGTCCAAGCTTGCTCCGCGCGAGCGTGCGTTTTCTTTTTTCGTTCCTTCTTCAAAATGAGCTTGCCATTGTATGTCGCTCTCCTGCCGTCGCTCAGGTGTGTTCATTAGCAGACGCGCAGGAACAGAGAAATAGAGAACGCGGCGGCAAAAGAATGAAATTTAAAAGTTGAAAACTCATTTGCCTCCCATCGTCATCACGGCGCTTGCTTTAGCAGCTCCATAATTCACTTGCCACTTTGTGTCTTTGAAAAGAAGTCGCGTCTTTGTGCGCTGCGTGCGCGAGCCATGCGTATTATCGTGCAGGGGTGACTTCTCGGCCTTTTTGGTTATAAAAAATAACGAGATTGGCGATTAATAAAAAAAACGTGCCGTGGTTTTTTTCTTTCTTTCTTTTTTTTTTGTTTGAAAATTTAACGGCCTGTTTTTTTAGCGTGTGTATGAAGGGTGGTATTTTAAGCGAGAAATCTTTTAAGACCCCACACAAAAAACAAACAAAAATACTCTTAGCGAGGATAACCATCATGCCCCCGGCCCACTTCCCCCTCACCTTTTCAACACACGCTTTATACTTACCGTGTTGGGTTCAAACACCGGAAAAAAATAATATTTGTCCCTACTCATCCCCCACCCCTCGCTTTCCCCTCTTCACTGACCCTAACACGCAACATATACAGCGTACCCCCCCCCCCCCTCGCTCTCCAGGGACGCACAAAGGAAGGAAATGTCAACAGGGCCAGTGTACAGGACAAGGAGCCAAGTCCTCAAACGCGTGCACACGGCCCGCCACGCGCCTGCACGCCGGCCGTCGTTATTGCATTCCTCTGCGAGAGAGAGAGAGAGAGAGAGAGAGAGAAGGGGGTGGGGGCGGAGGGTGGCACCTGGCCGAGACGGCAACCCGGTGACCCCTGCAACAACAACAACGGCGGGGGCGTACTGGCAGACTGCTAAGAATTTTGTACATCTTCACGCGCTGCAGTAATTTGAAAGCCGACGCGCCTTGCCCCGTGCCCTCGTCGTCGTGCAACTGGGAGGATTTTTTATTCCTCTCTCTCTCTTTCGCTCCCTCTCTCC